AGCCCCCGCTCACCGCAACTAGAGAAAGCCCACGCACAGCAATGAACACCCAATACAGCCATCAATAAATAGGTAGATAGATAGACTTAAGCATAAGACATGACACCACTGGATTTCCCTAGTGGTGCAGTGGTTAAGAATCTGCCTGCCAATGCAGGGGACACAGGTTCGATCCCTCGTCCAGGAAGATCCCACATGCTGCAGAGCAATGAAGCCCGTGCACCACAGCTACTGAGCCTGCACTCTAGAGCCCATGAGCCACAACTACTGAGCCCAGGTGCCTAGAGCCCGTGCTCCGCAACAAGAGAAGCCACGGCAATGAGAAGCCCGCACACCGCAACGATGAGTAGCCCCCCTCGCCATAACTAGAGACAGCCTGTGTGCAGCAACAAAGACCCAACGCAGCCAAAAAAAAAAAAAAAAGACGTGACACCATAAAACTCCTAAAAGAGATCATACGCAAAACATTCTGACATAAATCGTAAAACTCCTAAAAGAGATCATAGGCAAAACATTCTGACATAAATCGTACCAATGTTTTCTTAGGTCTCCCAAGGCAATAGAAATAAAAACGAAAATAAACAAATGAAACCAAATCAAACCTACAAGCTTTTGCACAGCAAAGGAAACCATAAACAAAATGAAAAGACAACCTACAGAATGGGAGAAAATATTTGCAAATGACACAACTGACAAGGGCTTATTTTCCAAAATATACAAACAGCTCATACAACACAACAACAAAATAGCAAACAACCCAATTGAAAAACAGTCAGAGGATCTAAATAGACATTTCTCCAAAGACGACATACAGATAGCCAAGAGGCACATGAAAAGATGCTCAACATTGCTAATTATTAGAGAAGTGAAAATCAAAACTACAATGAGGTACCACCACACAGCAGTCAGAATGGCCATCATTAAAAAGGCTACAAATAACAAATGCTGGAGAGGGTGTAGAAAAAAGGGGACCCTCTTACACTGTTGGTGGGAATGTAAGTTGGTGCAGCCACAGTGGAAAACACTATGGAGGCTCCTTAAAAAACTAAAAATAGAGTTACTATATGATCCAGCAATCCCATTCCTGGGCATATATCCAAACAAAACTAATTCAAAAAGATACATGCAGGGCTTCCCTGGTGGCGCAGTGGTTGAGAGTCCACCTGCCGATGCAGAGGACGTGGGTTCATGCCCCAGTCTGGGAATATCCCACATGCCGCGGAGCGGCTGGGCCCGTGAGCCATGGCCGCTGAGCCTGCGCATCCGGACCCTGTGCTCCGCAACGGGAGAGACCACAATACTGAGAGGCCCACGTACTGAGAAAAAAAAAGATACGTGCACCCCAATGTTCACTGCAGTGCTAGTCACAATAGCCAAGACACGGAAACAACCTAAATGTCCATCGGCAGATGAATGGATAAAGAAGATGTGGTACAAATATACATGGAATACTACTCGGCCATAAAAAAGAACGAAATAATGCCATTTGCAGCAACATGGATGCAACTACAAATTATCATACTAAGTGAAGTAAGTCAGAAAGAGAAAAACAAATACCATATGATATCACTTATATGTGGAATCTAAAATATGACACAAATGAATGTATCTATGAAACAAACAGAATCAGGGACATAGAGAATAGATTGGTGGTTGCCAAGGGGGAGGGGAGTGGGAGAGCGTTGGGTTAGAAGTTTGGGATTAGCAGATGCAAACTGGTATATATAGAATGGATAAACAATAAGGTCTGCATAGCACAGGGAAGTATAGTCAATGTTCTGTGATAAACCATAATGGAAAAGAATAGGAGAAACAATGTGTACGTATGTGTAACTGGGTCACTTTGCTGTACAGCAGTAATTAACACATTGTAATTCAACTATACTTCAATAAAAACATTTTTAAAGAAGACTGGCAAACTCAAATGATATTCAAACACTTGGGATCCTTGTTCTTCTCTAAAAATATCAATAGAATTTTTTAATAACTACCATCTGTTGGGCAAATATTATGTGACAGGTAAAATGCTACAGACTCACTGTCTCATTTATTCTTCTTACAAGTCTATGCTTAGATGTTATTCTGATCAGAAGGGTTAACTAACTCGTCCAATCACTATCCTGCCTCAGGTCTGTCTGACTCTTAACTATTCTGCTATGTTGGCGTGTGTCCTGCTCCTATTCTGACGTCTGACACGAATGACAAAAGGAACAGATGCTCTGAACAAAGACCGAAATTTGACCTTGATTAGGATACCAGAAAAAAGACTCGGTCTTGTTCTCAAAAAGGAAGATTTCCTCAAATAAAAGCTCATTCACTTGACAAATATTCCTTGAATCCCTATTGTGTGCCTGCCTTTCTTCTAGGAGCTGATTATTAAAGTAAAATTGAAATGGCCGCTACTCACTGGGTAACTCAGCACTATACTAAGGATGATTGATGAAAAGGAGGGAAAACGTAACTTATACTGCTCTCCTTAAGTATAGGAGGGAGCTCAGCTTGAATCTAAATTTTGTTCACCACAGAAATCAGGTATGTTTATGGGCTTGGGAGGTAGAATACGGGATCCTTGGGCATGTAGGGAAATGTACCATTTAAAGAAACTCATTCTAGGGACTTCCCTGGTGGTCCAGTGGTAAAGAATCCACCTTCCAGTGCAGGGGACTCAGGCTGGATCCCTGGTCAGGGAACTAAGATCCCACATGCCAAAGGGCAACTAAGCCCGCATGCCACAACGACTAAGCTCGCATGCCTCAATGAGAGAGAAGTCCGTGTGCCACAACTACAGATCGCACATGCCACAACTAGAGAGAAGCCTGCGTGCCACGACAAAGAGCCCACGCCACAATGAAAGATCCCACATGCCACAGCTAAGACCCGAGACAGCCAAAAAGAAAAAAAGGAAAGAAAAAAACTCATTCTAAGGGAAGAGAAGTGTAAGAACAATTTGGGCACCAGGATGGTGAACAAGGTCAAAGAAGAAGGTTGGTCATCCAGACCAGCTGGATTGACGATGCAGTCCCAGAGCCAGGGGTCCAAAGCAAAGGAACGAACAAAACCCACAGGAGCTGAACCACCAGGGGTCAACCGTGGCAGTTCCATTCACAGGAAACAGGACCCACTGCCCATGGCTCTCGCAGCAATGGGAAACTGCGCCCTCCAGGCAGACATCAGTGCCCTCAGCTTGGAGCTTGGGCAGCTTCAGGACAAACCTCGGCTCTGGCCTCATCTTTGAAAACCACCAACAGTGAATGAACCAGCTGCTATCTTGGGCGTTAACAGTGTGAAGAGACTTTCCCACAGAGGTCTGGAGGAGGAGAGAGCATGAACACGGGTGCCACAGGGTAGCCAAGGGACCTCCTTACTGGAGCCTTCATGAGATCCCTGCCTGAGACTCCCAAAACCATCCGGAAGGCACTGGAGGGACCAGAGTTCCAACAGAGTGCTGGAGGTGGAGGCTGAGCATGGGAATTTAAGGGAGTGCTCACGTTCTGCCAATCTGTATTAAGCAGATGTGTAATACTGCAGTGTGAGAAGATTAATGAAGTCTCACTGTGTATGTGAAATGTGAAATAACTCATCCATAACTTAAAATTCAAGAATCTTAATCCAACAGCTGCATGACCAAGTGAATTTCATATCGAGTTTATCGTACTGTCACATGGCATAGCCACCTTTTTTTTTTAAAGGGTTTGCTTATTTAATACATCTGAAAAGAATGCATATACAAAGAATTGAGACATGAGAAAGCATTGGTTCAACACTAATGACATCTAGAAGAATTAGGGTTTGGGGAAGGTGGGGAAGATTACCTAACATTTTTAAGACTTGGAAACTGCAACCAAGAAAAGTGTTAACAGGGATTTTATCAGCTTATGAAGAGTCTTCATAAGACTCTCCCCAGGATTTTTATTAAACTAGAGAGCCTCACCTGGCTGCTCTAGGGTTCCTCATATGCAAAACAGAAATAAGGGGATTCCCCTGACTGGTCCCCCATGTGGTTAAATGTTCTCCCCACCCCACCCCCAGCTTAATGAAGCAGGTCTCCATCCTCCTAACTTGAAAGAGGATGTGAATCATCCCATAGACATCTGTCTTCTAGCACCACCCCTCGGATTTCCTCTATATACCAGGTCTTCAGCTATGTTCTAGAACACTGTATCATACACTATTAAGCTGCACATCTATGCCCAGCATATTAAGACAATGACAGGGAAAATTTGTTTTTTCATTACATACTCAATCCATTTGGTTTATTTCAAAAGGTGCAATACTCTTCTTCATTTATCAGTGAAAGAAGTTAGAAATTAACTTCAAAAAAAATCAGCAAATGGCAAACAAATTTCCTTGAGTCACAGTCACATATATAGTGCATCCTAGAAAAGAGGAGGGGCAAGACAGGTTCCGCCCACTTTCATGAGTCTCATCAAATACTGGACCTACTCAAGGGTGGAGAGAAAAGGCAACTTTCAAATAGGAGTATATTATTAAATGAGGCATTTACTATACTCCTTTCTAAGAGCACCAGGTGGGGAACACGTTTTCTAAACTAGATCTAGGAAGTGGGATGTGGAATCAATCCATCCTCCTCCCCTTAAGGGCTGTCCAATGGTTAATGAATGTTAAAAACATGACTAAATAAAAACAAATCCCACACACACTCCCCCCCCCACAAAAAGGAAAAAAACAAAAACTAGATGTTCCAGATTACTCGCCAAAGTGGAAACTGGGAACAGCTTTAACAACCCAAATTAGTCTGCTACAGAGTCATCACAAGCATACCTTGCTGTTAAACAAAAAATAATCATTTTTTTGAAACAACAAAATAAAAACTAGTACTGATCACTTTTCTGACAATACGCTATTACTCAAAATTAACTAGTATTGAGAGGGGGAAGGGGGCCATAGCTATGGGCCTTGTCTCAGACGAGTGCATGTGGGCAGGTGCAGGGCATTTGTCATTACAAAAATGAATTTTAATTTTTAATCTTTAGTTTGATTTAAACATCGCTTTTGGTATGATGTGGACACCAGCTGTGCAGAAAGGGCTCTGGAGAGACGTTCACAGCAGCACACCTGCGGCTCTTCTTCGGTTCGGGAGGCTCCAGGGCAGCCAGCGTTGCTCCGTCAAAACACACTCTTCCGGCCTTTCTGGGTAAGTGCAGAACACCCTACACACTTGACAGCCTTCAGGTCACAGGCCAGTTTTTCAGCAGTCTCTGGGGTGATAGGCTTCTGTTTATTCTTAGCAAGTTTCTCAATAGTAGAGGGGTCATCTCTGAGATCAGTTTGGGTCCCAACAAGCAAGAAAGGGGTCTTTGGACAGTGGTGAGCTACCTCAGGCACCCACTTTTCTTAACATTTTCGAATGAGGATGGAGAGACCACTGAAAAACAGACTAGAAATAGATCTGTTTGGGGATAACTCAGCAGTCGTAATCTGTCATAATCCTCTTGCCCTGCAGTATCAAAAAGTCCAAGAGTACGAGGCTCTCCACCAATCATAATTGTGACTGCATAGTTGTCAAAAACAGTCAGTACATATGGACACTGCAGGTCTAACTCTTTATACTCCATGATCACTAAAATAATTCCAAAGTCTTTTCGAACAAAAAACAAACGGAACTTGCTGTCAGAGCCTACTTATCTCCATGACTGCATTTATCTTTGCCGTAGAAAAGCAAAACCAAAAATCCATTATAACAGAGTCTCTTGATTTCAGAAGACTGTCTTTACAAAAGGCTCATCAACTGCTTATGGCCATGGGTGACTTCTGAGTGGGTGGACAGAATTAAGCCCATAGAGAGATGAAAAAATGTTTGTATCATCTTTCTTTCATCAGTCTTATAGTTTTCTGCATGCAGGTCTTTTGTCTCCCTTGGTAGGTTAATTCCTAGGCATTTTATTCTTTTTGTTGCAAATATCACTCATGATATACTAAAAGCAATGTTTAAATCAAACTAAAGATTAAAAATTAAAATTCATTTTTGTAATAATGACAAATGCCCTGCACCTGCCCACATGCACTCGTGTGAGACAAGGCCCATAGCTACGGCCCCCTTCCCCCTCTCAATACTAGTTAATTTTACGTAACAGTGTATGGTCAGCAAAGTGATCAGTACTAGTTTTTATTTTGTTGTTTCAAAAAAATGATTATTTTTTGTTTAACAGCAAGGTATGCTTGTGATGACTCTGTAGCAGACTAATTTGGGTTGTTAAAGCTGTTCCCAGGTTCCACTTTGGCGAGTAATCTGGAACATCTAGTTTTTGGGGGTTTTTTTCCTTTTTCTGGGTGGCGGAGTGTGTGTGGGATTTGTTTTTATTTAGTCTTTTTTTTTTTAATTCATTAACCATTGGACAGCCCTTAAGGGGAGGAGGATGGATTGATTCCACATCCCACTTCCTAGATCTAGTTTAGAAAACGTGTTCCCCACCTGGTGCTCTTAGGAAGGAATATAGTAAATGCCTCATTTAATAATAATAAGTCCGTGCGCCACAACTACTGAGCCTGCGCTCTAGAGCCCGCGAGCCGCAACTACTGAAGCCCACGTGCCTAGAGCCCGTGCCGCACAACAAGAGAAGCCACTGCAATGAGAAGCCCGCACACCGCAGTGAGGAGTAGCCCCCACTCACCACAACTAAAGAAGCCCACGTGCAGCAACAAAGACCCAATGCAGCCAAAAATAGATTAATTAAAAGATAATAATAATAATGGGCTCTGGTTCCACTCAAGCTGGAGTAAGGACACTCCACACCATCTAAGACAGGATAAAAAGAGCACAGGCATTTTGGAAAAGGACTAGGGAAAGGCCCTGGGCAAAACAGGCCTTGCAAGCTAAAGAACGAAGGCCCTGGAGGCCTGAGCCCCAGAGACAAAAACCAGGCTCCCGGGAATAGAAAATTAACTTTGTTGCACTAGCAAGTGTACCTAGTTGCCATAAGACAAGAAGCTCAACTATAAATTTTTTTTTTTTTTTTTTTTTTTGGGTACCCGGGCCTCTCCCTGTTGTGGTCTCTCCCGTTGCGGAGCACAGGCTCCGGACACTCTGGCCCAGGCGCCATGGCTCACAGGCCCAGCCTCTCCGCGGCATGTGGGATCCTTCCGCGGCACGTGGGATCCTCCCGGACCAGGGCACGAACCTGTGTCCCCTGCATCGGCAGGCGGACTCTCAACCACTGCGCCACCAGGAAAGCCCTCAACTATAAATTTTAACCTTATCTACTCCTGTGCTTTCTTGCAGAAAATTCTGAGGCACTCCTTTCCCCTCCCAGAAGCGCTCCCAGAAGCGCTCCCTATTCCCGATAGCCACTGTGGAGCCATCTGCTGCTGATCAAAATGTCTGACGACTTCTCAAAATTATCCGTTATAATGAGACAAACCCTCCCTTTTGTTATAAAAGCAACTCGCCCCTTCTACTCCGGGAGCTGGCACTTTTTTTCTGCCTTCTCCCCTGTGCACAAGCTCTCTCTTTTAATAAAAAGCTTTGCTTGCCTAAGAGTCTTGTGGAAGCGATATTCATTTATATCTATGGTAATGCTGTCCAAGAACCTCAAAAGGGCCCGGTAACACATTTCTCCCTCTGATTGTAACAAAAAGCCCTAGACAAGATCCATAAAGCAACTACCAGAAGACTCCGAAAGGTGAATGAATTAGTTTTCTTTTGCTGCTTAAACAAATTATCACAAATTAAGTGGTTTAAAATAACACAGATATGTTCTCTTACGGTTCTAGAGGTCAGAAACGTAAAATGGGTCTGCGAGGCTGTATTCCTTCTGGAGGCTCTAGAGAATCTTCTGTTTCCTTGTCTCCAGCTTCCAGAGGCTGCCTGCATTCCTTGACTCACAGCACTCCGAACTCTGCTTCCGTTCTCACACCTCCGCTACCTCTGACTCTCTTGCCTGTTTCCTATAAGGGCCCTTGTGATTTCATTGGCCCACCCAGATAATCCAGGTTAATCTCATCGCAAAATCATTAAGTTAATTAAGTTTTCAAAACCCCTTTTGCCAGGTAAGGTATTGTATTCACAGGTGCCAGGAATTTGAATATTGACATCTTTTTGTGTGGGGAGGCATTATTCTGCCTGCTACAGTAAATAAAGAGCAGCAGGATTGGGTAAGGAACCCAGGTTTTAAATGATGACCTGGAAGAGAGTTCCTAGGTTTTCTTCTCTCTGTATATCTCAGCTCAAGCTCTGGGGTAGCCCGCAACTCAGGAGAGAGGGAGAGGGCACAGACACAGGGAGGTCTAGGAAAAGTCTCCAGCCATGGGTGAAGTTGGGGGTGGGGGGCAGTGTATGGTGGGGCTGTCCTGCAGGACAGAGCACTTGGGACTTTTCCTACTCTATGTCAGGGGAGAACCAGCCATGAAGCAGCATCAGGAAACCTCCAAATTTCTAAACATAAATGCTTTTTTTAGGAGTCCAGGATCAAATCAATCAAAAACACCACCGATAGATAAGAGAACACCATTGAGTCCTATAGCAATGGTCTTAGAGGACCAACATAAATTGTTGGGATATCAGGGGTGGATAAAAATCGAGTTCTAAGAGGGCTCTTGGGAAATTAAAAACAAGAAAGAAAAGGAAAGACTCTTCAGGCTGAAAACAAGGATCAATCATGGAAAATGCAGAACAATATCACTCATGAATTTCAGATACAGGCAGAAAATGAATATTTAACAATTATACAGAAGACAAAATAGAATTAGGCAGTAGCTGAATAAGATGCTAAAAACAGAACCCCTAGTCAGCTAAAGCCTTGCCCATTTCCTTAGAACTTTTCAAGAAAAGTTTTCAAGTAACCAACAACTGCACAATTTCAGGTTCCTTTTGAAACAAGAGGGAAGTGGGCAGGGCACAACCCTTAAAGAATGACATAGCCGTTGAGGATATGACATAACTGGTTAGAACTAACTAGGTCCAAGATGGTGAAAGATTCGACTTCCAGTAGACCTTGAGCCTCATTATATGCTCATTGTAATACATTAGCTAAAAGACACACCCACAGCTGCCATGACAGTTCCAAGGCCAACCATAAAAGGGCAAAACGTGGGCAGTGGCCCAATTCCTTGAAACCCCAACCCTTCTCCAAAATGGTTGGAATAATCCTCCCACTCATTAGCCTATGAAATTACCCAGCCCCTAAAAACTAACCACCCCATATTTTGGAGCCTCTCGCTTTCTGAGATGGCCCACACTGTCTGTGGAATGTGTTTCTCCCAGGGCCACTCTTGCCTTTTGAGACGGACCACATTCCATGGAATGTGTATCTCTCTAAATAAATCTACTTACCTATCACTTTGCCCCTAGCTGAATTCCTTCTGTGCTGAAACATAAAGAACCTGAGCTTCATTAAGTCCTGAGACCAGCTGTGTGATTTCAATTAAAAGACAGTGGGTTCAAGACCCAGTCTGGGTTTTGGCTGGGTTCAAGACCCATCCAAGTTGTGCGGTTCCACTTTCACGGTCATAAATCAAACCAGAGAACATTCCAAAAACCACTTAAACCAGTTATCTGTTCCAGGAAGGAGTAACACTTAACTGACTCAAAAGGAAATCTTAAAGGCATTTTGGAAGGTCAAGATATGACTTCAAACAATGACAAATGTGAGGGAATGATGTTCATTTGATGGAAATATTATTTCAGTATGAAAAGTCCAACTTAGAAAAAATAGCCCCCCAAAGTTAACTAGCAGGGCACTGGTTGTTCCCTAAGAATAAATAAGCTAAAATAGAGGTTTACTATTATACTTTCTACTGGCATGTCACTTTGCAATCTCCTGCCAAATCTGGCAGCGATTTTGTTTCACATATTGTTAAAAAAAACCGATCCTCCCAAACCCTTGGTAATTTCTCCAAAACAGTGCTCTCATCCCTGGCTCCACATTAGGACTTACTAGGAGTTTTAAAAAAGACCCAGGTCCAGGCCAATCCTAGGCCAATTGAGTAAGAACTTGTTGAGGGCTGAGCTGAGGCACTAGCAGTTTCCATATCACCTCAGGCGATTCTAATGTGTAGCCTGGGTTGCGATCCACTGCCACAAAGGAGCCCCACTCCACCTGTGTGACTAGAGCCAACTCACGTCTTGCTTCAATTAAAATATACTGAAAAGTAACCCTGTCATCCCTTCCCCCCAAAATACCATATTTAGATTTTCCCCCTTGTATTCTCATGGCTGCTTCATTTTAGATAAAGGCAACAAGAAAAATATTTTCCCAAAATAGTTCCCTTTCACAGTTTTGCCGTTTCTGGTTTGGGCACTGTCTTCACTAAATAAAAATGGATTTGGGACTTCCCTGGCAGTCCAGTGGTTAAGACTCCGAGCTTCCACTGCAGGGGTATGGCCAAAAAAAGAAAAAGGGCTTCCCTGGTGACGCAGTGGTTGAGAGTCCGCCTGCCGATGCAGGGGACACGGGTTCGTGCCCCGGTCCGGGAAGATCCCACATGCCGCGGAGCGGCTGGGCCCGTGAGCCATGGCTGCTGAGCCTGCGCGTCCGGAGCCTGTGCTCCGCAACGGGAGAGACCACAATGAGAGGCCCGCGTACCGCAAAAAAAAAAAAAAAA